TTTTCATTTTCTGAAGAAGGGTCTAGGCCCGAAACGTCAGCTTTCCTGCTCCTCTGATGCTGCTTGGCCTGCTGTGTTCATCCAGCTCTACACCTTGTTATCTCAGATTCTCCAGCATCTGCAGTTCCTACTATCTCTGCAACTCTGATTTACTTTTTTTTAACACATCATCACCTTATTCAGAACTTTCGTTTTTAATTCATTCATGGGATGTGGTTGTTGCTGGCTGGGCCAGCATTCATTGGACTTGGACTGCTTCAGTATTTGTAGAGTCTCTTTACAGGGTCACAGTAATTCTAAGGTTCTTGCGTAGATTTGTAGCTCAGGTTGTGGATGCTGTGGTTGGTTCGCTCGCTGAGCTGGTTCGTTAGTTCACAGACGTTTCATTACCCTGCTGGGTAACATCATGCAAGGACTGCGACAAACATCACATTGGACAGAAAGGAAGAAAATTGGCTACAAGAGTACATGAACACCAACTAGCAACAAAAGGACACGACCAATACTCACTCATTTCCATTCACATGGATAAGGAGAACTACCAGTTCAATTGGGACAACATCAAGATCCTAGGACAGGCCAAACAGAGACAAGGACGGGAATTCCTAGAGGCCTGGTTCTCTACCAAGAAGGCCATCAACAAACAAATAGAACTAGACCCTATATATACACCACTGAGAAGGAAAACTGGAAATGAGGTAATCAAATCCAATGGACCCCAGAGTTTAAATAACAAGCAGGAAAACTCAACAGCGCTTCATCATTACCAGCAGGGTAATGAAACGTCTGCAAACTAATGGACCAGCTCAGCGAGCGAACCAACCACAGCATCACAGTAATTCTGTTTTGCCACAAGGCTATAAGACCATAAGATGTAGGAATAAAAGTAGGCCATTCAGCCCATCGAGTCTACTCTGTCATTCAATGAAATTATGGCTGATCTGATAATCCTGAATTCCATTTCCCTGTCTTTTCCCATAACCCTTGATTCCCTTACTGATTAAAAATCTATCTCAGCCTTCAATATCCTTAATGACCCAGCCTCAACAGCCCTGTGTGGTAAAGAATTCTACTTATCTGCCTTTAGCTCCATTACTTTCTCTATTATTTTTTCTCATGTTATAGTTGTTGTATTTATTTCCCACATGTTCCCCACATTTTGTCCTTGCTTATTTAGTATTTTTGGAATGTTATTAATGTATTCAACCACAAAGATTGATGTATAGTATTTCTTTAACTCCTCTGCCATTTCTTAATACCCCATTATTATTTCCCCAGTCTTATTTTCTTAATGTTCACTTTGGACTCTCTCTTCCCTTTTATATAATTAAACAAGCTTTTACCACTATTTTTTATGTTACTGACAAGTTTACTCTCAAAGCTTAATTTCTCCCTGTCTGTTATTTTTTGATCATCTTTTGCTTTTTTTAAACTTTGCCAATCCTTACAATCCTTTGCCAATCTTTAACACATTATATGTTGAGATAACACAGTGTTTGCACTGGAGGAACACAGAGGCCAGGCAGCATCAGAGGAGCAGAAAAGCTGACGTTTCGGGTCGGGACCTATGATGCTCTGATGCCTAGATGCTCCCCTGATGCTGCTTGGCCTGCTATGTTCCTCCAGCTCCACACTGTGTTATCTCTGACTCCAGCATCGGCAGTTCTTATTATCTCTGACACATTATATGTTTCTTTCTTTCAATTTGATGCTATCATTAACTTCCCCAGTTAACCATGGTTCGTTTATCTGCTTCCTACAATTCTTCTTTCTCACCTTGTTGTAAGCCATGAACTGTTTACTTAAATGATTGCCATTGTTCATCAACTCTTTTTTTTGCTATGTAGACAGATGGGAGGCTGGAAGAACACAGCAAGCCAGGCAGCATCTGGGGGAAAGGAGAAGTCAACATCACAGGGAGAAAGAGAATGCAAAAGACACTGGAGAGCTGGGAGAGCAGCAGCAGTTTTTGGAGGAAGGAAATGAAGACACCAAGTGGAAGGAATATTACTGTCACCGTGAAGAAGTGGTACAGCATCAGATGCAGCCACCAGATAGGACTTAATGGACACTCTCTTCCGGTAGATTGGAGCTGGGCAAGTCATCGTTCGTTGACTGTAAATCTGTTGTTGTTTACAAGGCAAACAGCCCCTGTTTAATCCAAAAGCAAATGCAACTTTTGTTCTTGTTCGTTCTTCACTTTTCCTGTTTAATAAAAGTCAATGTTAATGGTTATTTGAAGGATTTACTGCATGTGATGCATTCATGTTGAAAAATGACAATGGGTGGCACAATGGCTCAGTGGTTAGCACTGCTGCCTCACAACGCCAGGGACCCGGGTTTGATTCCACCCTCGGGCAACTGTCTGTCTGTGTGGAGTTTGCACATTCTTCTGCCTGTGTGGGTTTCCTCAGGGTGCTCTGGTTTCCTCCCACAGTCCAATGATATGTAGGCTAGGTGGATTGGTCGTGGGAAATACAGGGTTACGGGGATAGGATGGGGGGTGGGTCTGTGAGGGATACTCTTCAGAGGATTGGTGTTGTCTCAATGGGCCAAATGGCCTGATTCCACACTGTAGGGATTCTATGATTCTAAGGCAAGATGTTAGTCTGTGCTGGAACATAGGCAAGAAGTAGCACTCCCTCAGACAGGGTCTAACATGGTATGGGACTGAGAAAATATGGACCCTGTAGCTTTATTCTTGCAGCTTCAGTTACTACCACAGTCGATCAGAAAGGTGATGATTCATAATTATGAGATCCTACTTCCAGCATGGCCTTGCTTGTGCCATGATGTGCCCTCAGGAGCTTTACTGTTTTGTTACCCTCTCGCTGTGTGTACAGTGAAGGGGCCATTCTAGCTGGCAGTGTGCCCAGCTGAGTTTTATACATTGGTGCCAGTGGCAGAAATCTACCTGGAACTGGTGAGTACTTCCAATCAATAGTGAGACAATGACCATGTGACCACAGTGCTGGTGGGGCATGTAACATAGAGCATGAAATGAGGACTGTGGAATTGCTTAAGATAACACGTGAGAGTTGACAGAGAGAAGCCCTTCATGAAACTACTCAGAATTGACATTTGCCTGATTTTTGTTAAAATTCGGCCTAATATGTCTCTGGAAAGCATGCTGGGTGTTTTTTTTACTAGTGACCAGGGAGATTATAATATAAATCTGGAATGGACAGTGGATATTTTAACCTGAAAGCGGGTAGGAACATAGGAAGAGGAGTAGGCCATTCAGCCCATGGAGCCTGCCTTGCCTTTCATACTATCATGGCTGACTGAACACTTAAATCCCTTCTTCCCACCCCAACATGATAACCCTGTACAGTATTGGTAAACAGGAAGCTGTTAATCTCAAACTTGAACATACTCAAAGACACAGCTTCCACAGATAAATTTCAAAAATTTGTCTTCATCTCGGACTTAAGTGGCAACACCTTAATTTTTAAATTGTGCTTCTCGATTCTAGAAATTGCGCACTTGTTCTAGAAATATTCAGTATATCTCTGAGCAGAACACCGAATATTTTGCCCGGTATCCGGGCAGATTACAGAGTGAATCTCTGCTCCTCGCGCCAATTGTTTTGATTCTAATTGGTTCGCGCGGAGCGAAGGGCTCGCCCACCCGCATCCATCAGCCAATCAGAGCGCCAGTTCATCCAGCCCTCCAAGCAACAGCCAATCACATTCCGCATTTGCCCAAGTGGGCAGGACCACACTTAACGGATCGGTGGGGTAGGTGGTTTCTTGAGGGAGGGAGAGGGTGTGTACCTGAAGGAAACGTGTGTACGTGAGGGAGGGAGAGAGGGTGTGTACCTGAGGGAGAGAGAGTGTGTACCTGAGGGAGAGAGAGAGTGGGTGTGTACCTGAGGAAGGGAGAGAGGGTGTGTACCTGAGGGGGAGAGAGAGGGTGTGTGCCTGAGGGCGAGAGAGAGGGTGTGTGCCTGAGGGAAAGTTGTGTACCTGAGGGAGGGAGAGAGGGTGTGGACCTGAGGGAGGGCGAGAGGGTGTGTGTGCCTGAGGGAAAGTTGTGTACCTGAGGGAGGGAGAGGGTGT